ATATACACAGTGAAATATTATTAAGCCTTAAAAAGAAGGAAATTAGGCGATTTGTGACAGTATGGATGCAACTGGAGGGCATAATGTTAAGTAAAATAAGCCAGGCATAGAAAGTGAAGTACTGTATGACCTCACATGTGAAATATGAAAAGTTGAACTCATAAAGGTAGAGAGTAGAGCTGTGATTACCAAAAGGTATGGAGAGAGGGGAGGAAAGAATGCTGGTCAAAGGATAAAAATTTTAGTCAGACGGGAGGAATAAGTTCAAGAGATACATTGTACAACACAGTGACTGTTTAGTTGAAAATCACTATAGTGTTTTGTTGAAAATTGCTAAGAGAACAGATTTTATGAGTTCTCACCACAAAATGTAAGTAGGTAAAGTAATGCCTACATTCATTAGCTCTATTTGTCCATTCCACAAATGTGTACATATTTCAAAACACCATGTTGCAAATAATAGCTATATAAAGTTTTTATTAATTTTAAATAAATATAAAAGAAAAATAAAAGTTACAGTTTAGTGCAAGAAGATAGTAAAATCTACTTATTTTCTTCCCCCTAGAGAAATATCACTTTTAACATTTTGGTATACATACAAGCATGATTTTTAAAATAGATAAAATTCTGTTTGCAATCTCCTTTATTACTCATTAGTTTATCTTAAACAGCTCTCCATGTTATTAGTTGTTATTATATCACAGCTAAACTGCATTATATAACATAATTCCATGCTGTGTTCATGAAATAATTTATTTAATCCAGAATTGTTTTACCATCAATATGTAACTGAAACATAGGCAAAGGAAAGGTATAGACAAATTGACCTTAAATGAAGAAATATAAGCTAGAGTTCATCAGAAATCAATATTAAACCAATTTCATGAGACAAATAATTACATAATGATTAAGAATTCAGTCTCTGGAGCCACACTGTCTGGGCTTAAAAGCAAGTCTATCATTTCTTCATTGACAAGTTATTTGATCTCTCCATGCCTTCATCTCTTAATCTCAATTATATCAATCTCAAGGACTATCTCAAGGACTACTGTGAGGACTGGGTGAGTTATTGCTAAGAACAATGTGTGACATGTAATATATACTCCATAAGCATTAGCCATTATTGTTTTTGTCAATGACCTGAAGAAGAATATAGTAAGCTATTAAATCTTATGTTCTGCAGGTGACACAAAGCAATGAAAGTACACGCCAGAATACAATGAAAAGATGCAATCATGGAGATACATAACAAGATATTTTGGTGGATGTGTAAGGCAGAGAGAATATAAAGTAGAAAGTAATTTTAATGTATAATAGATAAATTAGAACACAAAACAAATTTTAGTTTTTTAGTTGATAGACTTCAAGCAAATGGTTACAGTCCAGGAAAGAAATCCAGACTAACTTTTAAATTGACAGAGGCTTTTCAAATACCATCTCACTTCATCATCATCATAGACCAATGAGTTCTATTGCTACCTCTGAAAATAACTGAATTTCAGAGAGGTAAAGTGACTTAGGTAAGATAATACATTAAAGGAATTGATGCTACTGGGACCAGAGTCTCTATGTTTTAACCACAAATTTTGTGCTGTACTATACTGCCTTTTATTTTAGACTCTTGTCATCAAAGACAAAGATATTTGGGGATACAGACAACTCTATATGTGGGACACAATTTACTTCAGGAGTTGGTAAACTATAGTCATTGGTTCAAATCTGGCCTGCATCCTGTTTTTGTAAATAAAATTTTATTGGAACTCAGGCATGCCTATTTATTTGTGTTGTATATGGCTATATCCATGTTGCAACAGAACGGAGTGGTTGCAACAGAGGCCATATAGTCCCCAAAGTCAAAACTATTTCTAATCTGGTCCTTTACAGAAAAAGTTTGCAAGCATCTAATCTATTTAACTGAAAATAAAGTAGAAAATGCTCTTCAACATATGGAATAAAGCTTAAAAGCAAGATCTGTGGATTAGAATGCATAAGTGACCACAAATCCTAAAGATTGCTATATTTTACTCATAACCAAAAGACTGAATGACAAAGAGGAACAAGTAAAAAGTAACATGTGTGGTGCACATAAATGATAAAGGCTGATGCTAACAAATATACCAATTACAGATGTAAGGTAAATGGAATCAGTCAGGCTTTCTCGCCTGGCTGGAACAAGATAACACTCCATTAGGCCTTGGCCCACTGGAACTTATGACTAAGCAAACTATGTGCTCATAATCTGGCTACATGCTGCTATTGTGTAGGTCTGCTTAAAAGCAGACAGGGACAAACCTCAGTGCAGAGACCTGTTCCCCTTGTAATCACCGGCTGCCACGATTACTATTAAAGAGTGCAGTTGTTATGAGCCTGGCTCCTCTGTTCTCTGACCTGTCTAAATCTGATGTCAACCTGCCTGGAAGGAATTGAGCGTCTCCAGCACATTTGGTGTAATTGTCAGGATTTGTTTCAGGTCAGTATAGAGCCTGCTGACTCAAGTGGATAGGAAAAGTATGGAATGTGGCATATGGCTACCACATTCTGTTCCTGGGTGCTCCCCCATAAAGAAATGGCTTTGTATAGCCAGGGAGAAATGACTTTGTATAGCCTAGAAGAAATATTTGAGAAAGAGGGAATGTGAGTGTTTGCCAGAACTGCAGGGCTATCCCTCCAGGAATGGGCTGAAGTGCATAGTAAACCCATTGATGTAGAAATGACTTTGTATAGCCTGGAAAAAATGACTTTGTGTAGTCTGGGAGAAACATTTGAGAAAGGGAGAATGCAAGTGGCTGCTGGAGCCAGAGCCCCAGAGTGGGTGTTTCTGATCGCCCTCTAGGGAGGCACTAAACTCTGTTTGCAGTTTGAGGCATGGGAATTCTTGCATTTCTATGACGTAGGGGTGGATATGATACTGCTATCCAGATTAGAGATGGAAAAGCTAGTCTCCCTTATTGCCAGACAGCACAGTGGCAGCATTCGCAGAATGCTAGGCAGCATCAAGAGGACAATTCACTGTTAGAATGATTAAGAGCAGGAGCTTTTACAGTCTGGCTGAATGCAGGAGATCTTCCTGGATCCACCTCTGGGTTTGTTGCCAAGCATCCAGTGGCTTGGACACTCCCCAAATTGGTGAGGTTGTCTATCAATGATACTATGTTAACCTCTGACTCTCTTCCAGAGTTAGAACAAGCTGCTCTGTGTTTGTTACAACATTTAAAGAAATGTAGCTGGGAAGTCAACACCTCAAAAATCCAAGGACCTGATTTGTTGGCCCTTGATTCTTGAGAGTTGTCTGGTAGGGTAAGACAAAAGTGATACCTAAGGCTATTGTTGATAAAGTATAAGCCTCCCTTTCTCCTAGTACAGTTAAAGTTTTGCAAAAGATTTGTGTCAGGGCACTGGAGAGCTTTTATACTGCACTTGGCACAAATTCTGAGACCCTTGTACCATTTGGTAAGAAAGGACACCAGGTGAAAATGGGAGGATGTAGAGACAAAGGCTTTCATGGCAGCTAAATGAGCAGTCACCAGAGCACAAGCTTTAATGGTATATGATTCTGTTCAACCTGGTGATGTCACTGTCACTAATGAGGGATACAGATGGGGGCTATGGCAGAAAAGTGAAAGAGATGGCAACCAATTGGATTTTGGTCTCAGCTATGGAAAGGGGACAAGACATTACAGCTTGATAGAAAAGTAACTGGCAGCCATTTATTTTGCCTTGTGGGCAATAGAGCCCATCTCTGGAACAATCCCTGTGCAGTCCAAACTTCATACCCAATTGCTGGATGGGTAAGGGACTGCACAGACTTCCACATTGGCTAAGTGCGGGACATATCTGCAACAACAAAGCTAACTGAATGCAAGACCTTTAAATGCTGAGCTACAGCACATTTGGGGACCTGTGACTTACACTGCCACTGAGATGATGGCAGCAACACCTCTAATGTATCCTGGAAACGATGAAGCTGATGCACTGGCTAAAGTCAAATGGTTGGAGACTGCTTCCATGAAGGACTTAGCCAGTTGGCTACCTCAGAGACTGCTGCACACCAGACAGAAGTCAATATGGACTACAGGAAAGGCCCAAAGTTTGACAGTCACACCATGAATTGCTGCTATGTGGCCGCCAATGGTAGAGATCTGTTGTCTGCTTGAAGGCAAAAGTACTAGTGCTCTAAAGGGGACATCTGTGTTACCATTTTGACTAGGGCAACCCTTTCCATCACTCCTACATATAGAACCACAAACTATTACAGCAAAGGCTGAAAATGTATGGTATACTAAACCAGGGAAACTGGCAGTGTCTGCCACTGTCTTCTCATAGGATAAGATTTTAGCTTGTATGTTGGTGGAGGGAAGGGACTTGCTGACATTGGTACCTATAACCACTCTCTCCTATCACCCATGGTTGGGTGGCTGCAAATTCCCTGATGGACCGGGCCCCCACTACTGTGACTAACCAATCAGCATGCTGGGTATGCACTAAGTTGCCTTTGAGTGCTGCCAGAGGCTTGCCATGGAAACTCAAGCCCACCTTACTCGACAATTAGACTTGGTTGAGCACTTGGGATGCCTTTAATCTTTTGTATTGCCTGCACTTTGCTTGTATATTGTTGCAGTTTGTATTGTCGTTGTGGCATCTTTAAAGTAAAAATAGATAAATAAATAAAAATCAACAGTACAGTTATCCTAAGAAACATACTTATTTGCACCATTATTTGATGATATATGTAAATGCTCTTATTGGTATGGTTCTTTGGGAACTGAAAAGTAAGAGTGGATATAGTCTTTGATTTCTATATGTTGTATATAAAGTCCCTCTTTCTCCTCAAGGAAGAATGTCACCTATTTTTCAGTGGGAACAAAATAAGCCCACCATATGGGCAATGAAATTCTGTGAAAATTCAAAGTCATGCATAATAGAAAGTCCCTTCTTAATGTGGATTAACTACTATTGACTTTCAATAGTTGCTTGGAAATTGTTTATTTCCATAAAGTCATTTAAATGCTTTTTCTAAAACCCATGAGCTGACTGAATACTCTCTTTATTGCTACCTTCATTTCTCTATTCCTGAATGTGTAAATGACTGGATTTAGAAAAGGAGTCAAAACTGCATCAAATATAGCTAGAAATTTATCCAAATGTGTTGAAGGAGAGGGCCACATGTAGAAAAAAATCAATGGACCGAAGAACAAAACCACAACCGTCATATGAGCTGACAGAGTAGAAAGAGCTTTGGATGGACCTCCCAAGGAGTGTTTCTGAAGAGTGACCAAGATGAAGATGTAAGAGAGAATGAGCAATAAGAAAGCACCCAAAGAAATTAACCCACTATTAGCAGTGATCATGAACTCCAGTTTATAAGTATCTGTGCAGGCAAGTTTGATGAGCCGAGGTATATCACAGTAAAAACTGTCCAATACGTTAGGGCCACAGAAAGGCAAGTTTACAACAAAAGCCAACTGGGCCAATGAGTGAATGAGACCAATGGTCCAGGCAACCACTAAAATCGAAATGCACACTCGTGAGTTCATGATCGTCAGATAGTGGAGAGGTTTACATATAGCTACATATCTGTCAAAGGCCATGGCCATGAGCAGCACCATCTCAGTGCCCCCAACAGCATGACTAAAGAAGATCTGAGCTATACAGCCCCCAAATGAGATGACTTTCCGCTTCCTGAAGAGATCACAGATCATCTTGGGTGCTGCAATGGAGGAAAATATCAGATCAATGACCGAGAGGTTGGCCAGCAAAATATACATGGGGGAGTACAAGTAAGGGTCAGAGGTAACTGTGACCACTATGAGAAGATTTCCCATAATACTGGACACATAGAAAAGACAAGAAAAGAAAAAAAGAAAAATCTGAATCTCCTGGGAATCTGAGAGACCCAGGAACACAAATTCAGACACTACAGAGTAGTTGGCTCCATTCATTTGGTAGGTTCATTCTCATGTAACCTAAGGGGGAAAAAATGAGAACATTCAAGTTAATCATATTATAATTATAGCCTCTACAAAAAAGTATATAAATTTTTGAAGTCAAATATTATCTGAGCACTTCACAAATAACATTTGAATGACATTCTTTTGGCCACTAAAGCTTTTATTATATATGACAGTAAGTGAGTTGCCACATGAGCTTGCTAAATTGAGGGATGGTGAATGGTCTAGTGGATCGGTACCCATGTTGTACCTGACAAAATCACAAAGAAAGACTATTTGAGCCGGGCTCAGTGGCTCAGCCTGTAATCCCACGCTTTGGGAGGTTGAGGTGAGTAGATTGCCTGAGCCTGAGGGTTCGAGACCCACCTTGGCAATTTGGCGAGACCTCATCTCTACAATAAATAAAAAAATCAGCCGGGCATGGTAGCACGTGCCTGTAATTCCAGCTACTCGGAAGGCTGAGGCAGAAGGATCGCCGGAGCCCAGCAGGTCTAGGCTGCAGTGGCCGGGAGCGGCCACTGCACTCCAGTCTGGAAGACAGAGTGAGACTCCAACTCAAAAAAATAAAAAAAGGACTATTTGATATTAAATTGCTATATCAGTGTAATCAATATTAACCATCCTTTCCCTAAAGGAGTAATAAAAATGACATGTACTAAACAGGTAAAGAGGGCTATTCTATAACAGAGATTTATAAGATCCCATGACTCAGATTTTATTTTTCAAGCTAGAAGTTTTCTTTCTCTAATTCACACTTCTCAAAATATTATTTATTTTTTCATATCCAAATCAAATGACATCTCATCTATCAAATCCTCCTCAGGACCCAGCTATATTTCCAAATATACTAACTATGCCTGTTAGTCACATGTTTATCTCCCCCATATGATTATAAATAGCTCAAGAATATAAATAATAATTCCTTTAAATTTTTATCCTCATAGTTTGCACATATAGTGTCCTGCAGATACTAGGTGATCAAAAAACTATTTTTTAGTGAATGGATGATTGAGCTGAAGTAGTTCTTATCTATTAATTTATTTTATTTTGTGCTGGCAACTAGCTTAAACACTGGAAATACAGGCAAGAACAAAATAAGCAAAAGTTCCTATCCTCATATATTTACATTTTGACAGAGTCAACAGTTAAAGATAAATACATATACAGGATGTCAGATAATAATTTCACCATGGAGAAAAATTAAGCAAGAAAGAATGAGGCAGTTCAGAGTATGCTTTTATAAAACAGGATGGACTATAACATTCTTGCTGAAGAGTTGACTGTGAAGAAATCTAATAAGGTAAATGAACAAGTTATGAAGGTATTGGGGAAAAGTAGTCCAGGCAGAAATAAAAGAGAGCAAAAGTCTTGAGATGTGAACTCATTTGGCAAGTTCAAAGAATTATAAGTCTAAAACACTGAACCTGAGTATCCAAGGAGGTATGTATGATAGATAAGGCTTCAAAGGTAACAGGCACACAGATCCTGTAGTTCCTTATAGGGTGTTGTAGGACCTTTGGAAACTACTCTGAATAAAGTAACAAACAATTGTGTTTTGTACAGATGAAAAAGAAAATCTAGCTTACGATGTTAAAGGGTCCCTTTGGCTGCTACATTGTGTATATACTTCAGAGTTTTTAAGGATAGAGGCAGGGAGATTGGCTAGAAACATTTTTATCATGAGCAAACACTGATACAAGAGATAACATTGGCTTAGATCAGAGTCATGGAAGTAGAGGTAATGACAGGTAGTATATTCTGGATATATTGAGATGATATGTAATAAAAATTCCAGTGCTATAGATAACCTCAACCTTTTGGAAACTGTGAAGCACTGCATCTTATCAGAAAGTTTTCATATGAAAATAAACAAGAAAGACCCCAAATCTATAAAAATACAAACAGTACTGAGAGAGTGAATACACATTTAGTCACCAAATGTAATAAAGACTTTAGAATAAGGGTATATTTGAAGCTTTAAGAAAAAAGCAATCTGCAGCAAATAAAAAGTACAATTGGTTCTCCATATCTGCATTCTTCGTCTGCAGATTTAACCAATCTCAGATTGAAATAGGGGGGAAAAATTAAAATAACAATCTGCTAGACATGGTGGCTCGTGCCCATAATCACAGCACTATGAGAGACCGAGGCAGGGAAATCGCCTGAGCCTACAAGTTCGAGACTCACATAGGCAAATTAGTGAGACTTTACTCTACAAAAACAAAATACAAAAAATTAGCTGAATGTGGTGGCTGCGCCTGTAGTCCCAGCAGCTTGGGATGCTGAGGCAGAAGGATCACCTGAGCCCATCAGATCGAGACTTCAGTGAGCCATGATTGTGCCACTGCACTCTAGCTTGGGTGACAGAGTGAGACTCTGACTCAAAAATTACTATAATAATAATTTTAAAACAATACAGTGAAACTACTTACATAGCATTTACATCGTATTAGGCATTATAAGTATTCTAGAGATGACTTAAAGTATATGAGAGGATGTACATAAGTTATATGCAAATACTATGCCATTTTATATAAAGGAGTTGAACATCCCAGGACTTTGCTATCCATGGGGTGGGGGGGTTGAGTATCCTGAAACAGGTCTGCATGGATACCAAGAGCCAACTATAATCTCTTACACAGCAAGGAGAAAGCTATGAAATTTGAAACTCAATACTACAAATAATGTGGTATTAGGCTTAAAATGTTGTTATAACCAAGTAGAAATTTTTAAATGAAAAGAACAGAATATTCTCTGCTTACTATGCCATAGTATCATATTCTAAATGACAATTTAAGTTGGTAATTTCTTCTTTTAAAGAACCACTTTGGTTTTCAGATAAATTGTACTTAACTCTTTGAACTTGTCTTCCTAAGTAAGATTGTTTCTGAAGCCAAGAAAGCAAAAATAATCTTTGCTTTGTTCAAACTCCACAGTATCTGAATTTTTAAAAGGCTAACACACAGAATTCTCTATAAAATAGGATGTTTATCAACCTAAAAAATCAAAAATGTAAATAAAGTGCAAAGTACTAGATTAATGGTAAGACAAGGTTCTACTTCTAACCAGAAAAATCTCAAATTAATATAATCATCTCAAACTCAGTTAAATTTAATGTAATGTCATTTATTTTTGACTATTGCAAACCTTTTTTTATATGTGACACAAATCATTAAAGGTCTGTGCTTGAAAAACTACTAATATAGAGTAAGCACAGTGATCTATCACAGAAACAAAGAACAGAGTACCATATGTTCTCACTCATAAGCGGGCCTTGAACAATGATCATAATACTATAAGAAAGGGATTGGCAGTAATGGAAAACTGCCAGGGGAGGGGGAAGTGGGATTGGCATTTGAGGAAAACTGCCAAGGGAGGGAGAGCACACCTCATCAACAAAGGTACCTGCATAATGAACATTTGTCTACCTAACCTGAATTGTACCCCACATCTTTAAAGTAACAATTTTTAAATTAAAAAATATAAAGAGTAAGCAGCTTCAATTAAATGTGATAAAAGTATGTTTTTAGAAATAGAAATGCAGACAAACAGAAAAGAAAATCCCATTTTAGGGATTGATTAAAAATTTCAATTCTCTCTATCCTGTTCTACATACTGGCCCATTTTCAATAATTTTGTATTTAATAAATACTTTTTAAAAAGAATTTTTCTATCAAATATCTTCTAAAAGTTATTTTAATAGAAACTATATGGAAGGAAAGGCAGCCATAAAGTTTGTTTAGACATTTAGTTGAATTTATGTGAACAAGGACATCACATGGAATAACCAAAGTTGCTGTAGAGTGATAAAAGTCAACCATGAATAATTTCTTCAAATATAATGTCCTATTTTGTGAATGAACTAAGAACTATTTTGCAGAAGCATATTAGATAAGATCAGAGGTGGGGATGCAGAGACAGAATACATCTCCAATATGCATACCTTTATTGTAGGACATATCACAATGCAGGAAAAAAAACATTGTTTTAAGTATCTCTCATTAATTTGGTTGTTCTCAGCCAGGGGTGTTTTACCTCCCAGAGGACATTTATCAATGTCTGGAAACATTTTTAGTTGTTCTAGCTAGAGGGAGGGGGAAGAATACTATTGGTATCTAGTAGGCATAGGCCAGGGATACTGCTAAATATCCTACAATGCACAGCACAGTCCCTACAACAAATAATTACCAGCCCAAAATGTCAGTGGTGCCAACATTGAAAAATGCTGCATTAAAGTATGAGCTCCTCTAGAGAAATTTAGTGTTTTATGTCAATTCATTCCTCAGACTGTCTAGTACCATTCTCATCACATAGTATACCACTAATTAGTGTTTGGTGGAGCAGTGAGTGACTAAGTGAATGGATGGATGGATGGATGGATGGATGGATGGATGGATGGATGGATGGACAGATGGACAAATAGATAGATAGAAGGTGAGCTCAAATGTAACCCAAAGGAAGAAAGGTCTCTAAGCCAGGACTAACTAGTTATTGCTGGAAACCTTGAGAGCCTATAATAAACACACGTTATTAGAATGTAAACTTCATTAAATAATTATCATATTTAAACAAAAAACATGGCTAAATACTTAATGTATTCCCTAACTTAATAGACAAAATCAGAGTTTTTCTAGATACTCAAGCAATAAATATGGAGAATATAATGTTCAGACAATAGGAAATGACGGGTCTTTCACAGTCATGTGTAGATTATCCTTTCTGATCACTTTCTGAATAAAGCAGCAGATATTTAAACAACTGGAGTTTTGATAGCAAAAGAAAATTGGCATATCTGGCATTGTCCAAGTACAATGTCCCTTTATAAGATACAACTAAAGGAGGAATTAGGAAAAAAGAAAAGAAAAAGTCTAGAAATGAGCCAGATAACCTAAAAAAGGAAAAAAAGCAAAATGAAGAACTGAAAACCAGAAGATATTGAAGTATATATTTCTTGTGACATCACAGTCTCAAAGATAAGAGTTTATTCTGGT